AGGCATTTTATAAGTTAAAACTATATATTTTCGACTTCCATATAAGACTTGAAACATTATTCGACTTTTAGAACATTTTTTAGGTCAAAACTTGGTAATTTCATACTTAATTAAAACAATCTGACTTTGTTTTGATCAAGATGCCCAGCTTTGCTGCTTGGGTATTCTTCTTTTTTCTATATATATATATACTATATATATACTATATATATATATATATATTTTATCTTTCATAATATAATATTAAATTATATTTTTTAAATCACAAACCTGTAAAACTGTCCTATGTCGCTCTCGATCTCTTCAGGTTCGTAACTGCCGATCGTGCTGTTTATCCACTTGTCATATTTTGTCAGAAACTCGGACGCGGCGTCGAAGAGTTTTTTGAAAGGCGTCAAACGATCAGCAATGCGTTTTCGAAGAGGGTACTGCGTGATCTCCCAGCCGAAGGCAACTTCTTCTTCGTTAAACTTATCGATCTTGTCCATCGCCGCGATCAGCCGATTCTCCAATATCTGCGCCTTACGTTGATATCGATGTATCTCTTCGTATTCGCCCCAATCTTGCATTTCGTCCACTTGCTTCGCATACGAGTCCAGCTCTTCTTCGAACTTCTTGTATCTGACTGTGTGAAGAGAAAAACCAGAGATCTGTCTTTATTAAAGTCATTCGATTTATTAATAATTACGATTATTTGGAAAATTTTGATGAGTTCGACCTTTGAGAGCCTCTTGATATTCTTGAGTCTTGTTCTCGATAATCGTTCGGCTGTCCTCCAAGATTTGAAGCATTCTGTGATACCACTGGAAAGCCGTGTTGTTGTTACTTATCTCGCTCTCCGTGAGCAGCCAATAGTCCGAGAGAAACGTGATATGATCGATCATGTCCAGCAACCTAAGTTCCAGACTCTTTAGACTAACGTCACTGGTAGTTCGAACAAACTTGATGAGCTTCATCAACTCCGCGGTGTTCGGAGGCGGAGACAGAGCTCGTTCCGCTATTGCTTCATATTCCGCTATCGCGCTACGTACAAGTTTTAGAAAAACTTAAACTTCCAGATAAACCAGTTAATTCTGTGTAAAATAATACAGAATAATACAGACAATAATACAAGACAATTTAATTACGATTGTTTTAATTAACAATTATATGTTTACTTCTTTGCTGTAGTTTGATAATTATCAACAAGGCGGCGAATTAAAAGTCCCTCGAGGTTCTTGACGTTCTCCACGACGGTATTAACAAAAGGAGCATGAGAAACTTCGAACAGTCCCGCAAAGATCGTTCTCTCGATCTCGAGCGGGATGTTCACCGCAAAATCGTGATAATACTTGATTTTCTTTGCGTAGTTTGCTAACTTTTGGTTTTCGTCTTGCAGAAAGACCTGCACGCGATTGTACTCCTCGTCGTTGTAGAAATGTGCATATCTACGAAAAAAAAGAGTTTATTATGTAATATATTGCGCGGCCACCTGCAATAAATATAGGATCGATATGCACTTTATTAACTCCGCCATCTTCTGTTCCGGAATTATTTTTTCTTGATCGATCAGCTGATTCAGCCGTGTCGCGAGCTGCCCCACGATTTCCTTCGATATCTGCGGCTGCAAGTGAAAAAAAAAATCTTTTAAATATAAATAAATAAATAATCATAAAATAAATTATAAATTATTAAATATAAATTATTAAATATACGTTATAAATTATTTAAAAAACAAATAAAGTCATTATGTTGGAAATGCGTGTGATATTTTTATTTTAAACAAATATAGCACAATTTTTATATAACTTTATATTTAAAAGTGTCGCGCGCAAAATTAAATTCCTTATATTCTTAAGTTTGTCACTTTAATAAAGTAGAAACCTTGAGGTGTGTTTGCGGTCCTGCCCAGTCGAGATAAAGCTCGGTCTCCAATCTCTTGAAATCCCTTACAGCGTCGCATATCGCTCCAAGAATGTCGCGAAGCGATTCTTTGAATTTGTCGAAGCCCGGCACAAAGGTGAGCTCGTTGGAAATCACAACGATGCTTACTTTAAAGAAGCAGCTCACTGGCTGCACAAAATGCATGAAGAAAATAACGTTATAGGAGAAAATAATATCTATTTTTTGAACGTTGAAAGTTTAAATCAATTATAATCAATTAAATGTAAATCTTATTAAATTATCTTGCAATTGTTTATTGACTTTTCTTTTCTGTTTGCTTGATCCTAAAGTTTTAATTGGTTTGTTATATGATTCAGGATAATATAAACCCGAGAGAAAGCAAACAGGTCTGAAACACACTTGGATAAGAGGAAATTGATGGATATTGTTTCTCGGAGTGTTTCGATAACACGCGGCAACAAGGACGAAGTGAAGGAAGCCGAATAATAGATATTCACCTTGCCGTTTACGATGTAATTAACGAAATCTCGCAGCGAACGTTTGCAAGCTTGCAAAAGCTGCGATTCCATCAACTTGGCGGCGCAATCAAAGAAACGTTTGAATTGTCTGCGTTGCAGCGGACTAGGCACTAGATTCTTTTTATTATTCTGTAAATCAGCAAGAAAATCCTTTTTTTTTTATATTTGTCACTTTACTACGGATTTGTTATGAGTGTAACTTAGTTTCAAAAGTAATTAATAATATAGATCAATATAATTATTAATTATTAATATAGATTAGAAACAAAAATATTTTCTAACTAAAGTTAAAATAAATTGTTATTGTGTTTCTTCTTTTAATTTATGTGACAGAACAAAACAAATTACTTATTTATCAAAATAGATATAAAAGCGAAAGAAAGAAAAATAAAAGTTTAAATAGAGAGAGAGAGAGAGAGAGAGAGAGAGAGAGAGAGAAATAAAAGGGTAAAGATGTAACAAAATAAATCAATATTTTATCTAACTTATTTTAGTATGTACATTATTTAATATTTAACTTATTTTAATATATATATTGTTATTTGCATTAATATCGATAACAGGCAATTTTTAATTGTTGTTACCGCGAAAAATATTTCTTGAATCCCAATGTACCAGTTATTTCTCAATATCCGCTGACCAGCGACAATCTGGCGAACAAACGAGTTGTGAAAATTTGTCAAATCCCAGCTTTTCTCGACGTACTTTAAATTAATCAGTCGAAATTGTCTAAAAAAAAAAAAAATTAGCGATTCTTGTTACAAACGCGACAACCGCATTTCGCTCGATCGACAAATTGTGTAACTCGATTATTGGTACCTGTAATCACAGATCCACTGATCCAGAGTCATTCGCATGCATGGATTTATCAAGTGCAGATCAACACGCAAAATCTCGTGACAATGACTCATGTGTTTTCGCAAATCGAGCTGAACATATCGACGATCTTCCTCGATTGCCTCAAATTATATTAAATATAAATAATGAACAAATTATATTGATAAATCAAATTATGACTGATTTGTTTTTATATAATTAATTAATTTTTTCCTCACTGTCGACACGTCAGCGGAATCATATTCCTCGAAAGGTTTGGCGAGCGCAAACTTGACGATGGCCTTCTTGATGTTACGCGTAAAGTCCTCTTTGATCTCGAGCATCAGTTTATTCGTAAAATCGGCAAACTGATCGCGCAGATCGCTGGGAACCAAATCGAGTATCGTTGTAAAAATCTCCTCGATACTAGCTGTATGAATTGTATCGACCCCGTTGGAGATATAACAGTAATATCGGTTCACGTCCTTATCGTCGCTAAGATCCACGTCTTTCTCCGGCAATTCCGGTTTCACTATTAAACCAACCATGTATCTAAAATCGAGAATAATTTATTTGAACCGCTAAAAATTGTATATATAAAATAAACTCTCTTGACAAATAAATTTTTTACATTAAATATAAAAATTCTAAAATCAATTATTACGAACGACTTAAAATAGGTTCACAAGAATGGGTTTAAAGATAAACATATAAAAGAAAGAAAGTTTTTTTTTCTTTTCTCTTTACTTACCTGCGAAACTTTTCCTCGCGGATGCGTTTTGCAGTGTAAGAAGTCTCCCGAAACTTTTCTTTTGGTCTACTTGGCTCTTCTCCTTTTCTTTTATATTTTTTAAAGCTTATCAAGTCCGACGGTAAGGAAAATAACGGTTCCACTTTTGGATCGAGAATCTTTGGTATGTGAATCGTAGCATCTTCGGACTGACATTTACGCCCGTTTGTTTCCTTTGAGTTAGAACTTTCCATATTGAGTCGCAGTTATAATAAGAGAAACTCTTAGTATTATATTTCTAAAAAGCGTATAATAAAAAAAATCAAAAACTCTGATATTGTGAAATATATTACTATTTTACAGAATGCTAATTAAAAAAATGTTAACACGTAATTTAAATTCTTGAGATATTTCGAGACAAAACTTCTAATATTATATTGTCGAGGTTACAATAGTTTTCGAATCAGAAGCGTTTCAAAGTGACCTATTAGATGGTCTATATTTCGCGCGCTCAGGTACGACGCATACTGTGCGCGATACCGTGTTCTTATATCTCGATAGTTGGATAATTACAGAAATTATTTAAAACTATTTTTTCATTAATTCCTATTTTAATACATATAAGTAATAAAGTTCGCATGTAAAAATAAAAACAGTTTCATCAAATTCTTACAAACTTTTAATTATAACAATAAGTATATGTGAATACGGTCAATAAGAGCCATTCGCTGGATGTTTTTGCAGTAATATTCGTGTATATATATGTACACATATATATACTAGTTCACGTGTAAATCTTACACGTGAGTTTTTGGATTGAAATTTCAATCCTAAAAATCATATAGGATTACGAAAAAAAACTCCTCAGCCAGGAGTCGAATCTGGAATCTCCGGCTTTCCGGTTTTTCGCAGTATTTTAAAAATTAATTAGAGGGGTACACGGGGTCTCTCATATATGAGATGCAAAATTAGCATCCTATATGATTTTTAAGATTGAAATTTCAATCCAAAAACTCACGTGTAAGATTTACACGTGAACACGTATGTATATGTGTACATATATATATATACATATATATATACATGAATATTACTACAAAAACATCCAGCGAATGGCTCTTATTGATCTTATTCACATATACTTATTGTTTATTACATCAGAGCCTTATAGATTCTATTAATTTTTAATTATAACGTTTTTGACGAGCTGTCAAAGTTACAGCTTATGAAACTAGTAGCGCTAGCGTATTTGATTTTTCTTGCTTGCTGTAGTAAAGTTGCTGCAATCAATGTATTAAAATATGAATTAATGAAAAAATGTTTTTAGATCATTTCTGTAATTATCCAATTATCAAGATATAAGAACACGGCATCGCGTCAACAGTGCGTCGTACCTGAGCGCGCGAAATATATCCCAGTCAGAAATACCTTGTCGAATCGACGTCGATTCGACGTCGATTATACTAGTCGATCTACGGTTGATCGACGTCGATTTCTGACTGGGTATGCCATCTAATCGATTACTTTTAAACGCTTCTAATTCAAAAACTATTGCAACCTCAACAATATAGTATTAGAAGTTTTGTCTCAAAATTGTCTCAGGAATACGTCATTTAAATTACGATCTTGAGTTGCGGGACACCCTCTATATAGAGAATTTATATGTATTATTGTATATTTTATTTTATTTTATTTTTTTTTTTATAGTATCTCGTATAATCAGATCAGCCTGGCTTACATTTGTCATTGTATGATGTTTCGGATGCGTTTGAGAAGCGCGTTATCAGCGCTATTGCGTCATTTTCTCTCTTTGTTTTATATCTAATAAACGATAAAGATAGAATAATTAAATAGCACCAGATAGCGCGTTCCTCAAACGTATCTGAAACGCACCCTGACGAAAATGAGAAGTTTTATAAGCGTTTATTTGACGTTTGTATGAGCGTTTTGCGGAAATTCGTTGAAAGTTTTGAAACGATCAGTAGAGAATTCATAGAGCAGAAATTGCAACGCTACAGCGTTTGAAAGGCGTTTGT